GGCCTCCTTGGGCCTCTTGGGGGTCATTGGGGGCTTCTCGGGAAGCTTCTTGGCCGTCTTAGGGCATTTCTGGCCCGCCTGACGCCGTCGGAAGCTATCTTGGGGGCCTCGGGCCAACTTGGAGCCCTCTTGGGGTGCTCCAACTTGGAGCCCTCTTGGGGTGCTCCAGGGCCGTCTTGGAGGCCATCTTGGGCGTCTTCGAGGCCTATTGCGCCGTCTTGGGGCCCTCTTGGGGCCGTCTTCGGGGCCTCCTGGGCCGTTCTGGGGCCATCTTGGAAGCCACCGCGGTCCCGGTCTTGCAGCTCACCTGCGCAGCCCGCCAGGCAATCGCACCGGCCGCCCCCCCCGTTTACTGGAGCTGCCGTCGCTACTGCTGCTCTGGCCTCCACTCTTCCGACTTGCGGTGCTCCGACCTGGCACAGCCGGCCCTGATTAGTAGGCCGACCCTGCCAAATCAAGGGTACCCTTGTGTCCTGTGTCTCGCGGTCCATGCCTCCGACATGTTTGTGGCAATGTGACTAATTATGTGGCCCTCGAAAGGGTCTTGTGTCCTCTCGCGTGCCCTGTCCCATCAAGTCCGACTGTACTGCAGCCGCTGCGCCCACCTTTGGGTGCGTTCGTGACGCCGTCCCGTGCCCGCTGCTAGGGGCTGCTGCACCGGCTCGGCCGCCCCCCGCGCTCCACCGCGGCCTCGCCGCGCGTGTGCGCCCGCCTCTCGTGTTCCTCCCCTTCCGCGGCGGGCCCTCCTCTTTTCTCCCCTCTGGCACTAGGGAAAATTCGCAATGCCGTGGCCCTGGCTTGCTTGGACGCGCGCGCGGGGTGCCTCTGCCGCGCTGCGACGCAGAAGAGTGGTGTCCTACCTGTTAGGGTTCGGGCGCTGCTCTGCGGTCAGGTGGTACAGTCGGGGCGCTGAGGAAGGAAACCTTCTCGTTTGGGAGGGGCTCGGTGTTCCTTTTCTGTTTTACAGCTTGCCTCATGTGTTCCTGAGGTTTCCATGGGAATCCGAAGTTTTTAACTGATTGGAACGGGGGCCTCATTCCTTATTTAGGGTTCCTTAGGTCAACGCCCCGACGGTATGCGCGGTCGCCGTTGCACTCACCCACAGGGTCTCGCCCACAGGGTCTCGCCCACAGGATCGCACCCATGGAGCACAGGAGTTCGTGGATTCAGTATCCTTGGCTCGCCGTGTCATTGCTGTCGAAATGTATTCGTGTGTGCCTGTGTGCATATATGTATGTGTATGTGTATGTCTGGGTGTGGCACTCTTTTTTTTTCCCTTCCAGAAAGGGCGTGGGCCCAGGTTTTCCCTTTTTAGAGGCTTACCCCTGGAATCGGCGGGAATAGGGCCAGCGAAAATACTTGCGGTAAATGACGAAGTGGGAAGATGGTTTGCGAAGTAATTATTGAGGATGTCCCGAGCGAAACGCTTGTGTTCAGAATTTGTGGAGGGTGTCTCGAGCGAAACGCTTGTTTTGTATTCTAGATTGTTCCTTTCCTGAGGGGGCCAGAATTCAGAGGATGTCTCAGGTGAAATGATTGTTTTCACGTGCCCAGATCTTGAGGATGTCTCGAGCGAGACGCTTGGTTTTACGCGTCCAGGTTGCCCAGGCAGATGTCTTGTATGAGGATGTGTTGAAGATGTCTCGAGCGAGACGCTTGTTTTCACGCGTCCAGGGCGTCCAGGAAGATGCCTAGCATCAGGATATGTTGAGGAAGTATCGATCGAGATGCTTGGTTTCGCGTGTCCAGCTCGCCCAGGCGCATGTCTAGTATGAAGATGTGTTCAGAATGTGTCGAGCGAGACGCCTGGTTTCACGTGTCCAGGTCGCCCAGGCGGATGTCTAGCATGAGGAGGCATTGATAACGTCTCGAGCGAGATGCTTGCTTTCACGCGTCCAGGCCGCCTAGGCGGATGTCAAAGGTCATGATGTGTTGAGCACGCCTCAAGCGAAATGCTTGATTTCACGTGCCCAGGTCACCCAGGTGGACGTCTAACTTCAGGATATGTTGAGGATGTCTCGAGCGAACGACTTGTTTTCACGTGTCCAGTTCGCCCAGGCGGATGTCTAGCATGAGGATGTGTTGAGCGAAACGCTTGTTTGCACGTGTTCAGGTCGCCCAGGCGGATGTCTAGCATGAGGATTTGGGCAGGATGTCTCGAGCGAAACGCTTGTCCCCAGCACGTTCCGTAGCGCGTCCCTTTGGCACGTCCCGCGGTGCGCCCCCATGGCACGTCCTCTGGCACGTCGCCTGGCGCGTCCTTTGGGACGTTCCGCGGCGCGTCCTCCTGGCATGTCCCCCTGTCAATTAGCTCTGGGGCAGCTACTATGTGCTCACGCAGCTCGAGCTTCAGATCTAGATCAGTTTGGTCATGACTCGGATGCAAAGGATGACTCGATCACCAACGCTATAGAGCACAATCGCGGCATGGCACATCGCAATTCAGCACGGCGCAGCACAGCACAGTTTTTCTGCACGGTATATCACGATCGATGCACTCAGCATTGCATGTTTGCCCGTCGCCCAATCAGGTGTCTTTAAAACGTTGCCATGCCTTTCATTTCTATACTCCTTTCCGGGACCGTGGGTCGATCATGTTTTCTCTCTCTCTCTCTTTCTGTCTGCCTGTCTTTCTGTTAGTCTATATCACGGCCCGACCCAGTTCCGTAACCAGCCCAGCCATGCATATGTCAAGCCTTCTCTCTCACGCCGTCTCGATTTTCTCGTTGCCCCTTCCGTTTGTGATCGTTCATCGCATGAGTTCAGCCATTTGTTGGGCATTGCTGCCAGGAGGGCGTCGATCTCAACACCGTGAAGGCCTGTCCGCAGTGCTTAGCTCGCGCACGGCCCATCATTTATTGTCAGAATGTGAGTGCCAGGTCCAGGTCAGTACAGAATTATGGTGGGGACGCACGGGACGAAGTGGCCACACTGTTGGTGAGAGGGCGCACCATCCGATGCAGGTAAGTATGCCCTTCGGCGGGTTATAATGTTCGCAGAACTTCTGCGTCTGGGGCGCCGTGGACGAGGGCCCTCGTGAGTAGCAGAGACAAGCGTACAGTCGGGGCCCTGAAGAAGGAACCCTTTTCGTTGGGGAGGGGCTCCGCGTACCTTAGTGTTTCACAGCTTGCCTCAGGCTTTCCTTATGTTTTCGTCAGGAAATCGAAGGTTCACTCATGGAAAAAAGGGGCCTCGTTCCTTATTTTAGGTTCCTTAGGTCAACGCCCCGACTGTACATGCTGATCGCGATCTTGTCACCGCGACCGCCTGCCCTTGGTGCACTTCCCAGCCATGCCGGACGCAGCAGCTCCAGCGCACCCGGCGGGGGCACGCCCAGTGGTCCGGCCACCGCCTGCCGATCGAAGGCGCCCGCACAAGCGGCACGCGAGACCCCGACCTCTGCACGACGGGATGCATCGGATCCGCTCCTCCTCCTCCTCCTCCTCCTCCTCCTCCTTCTCCTCCCCCTCCTCCTCCTCCTCCTCCTCCTCCTCCCCTTCCTCCTCCTCTTCCTCCTCCTCCTCCTCCTCCTCCTCCTCCTCCCTCCTCCTCCTCCTCCTCCTCCTACTCCTCCTCCTCCCTCCGTTCCTCCTCCTCCTCCTCCTCCTCCTCCTCCTCCTCCTCCTCCTCCCCTCCTACCTCACTCCCCTTCCTCCTCCTCCTCCTCCCTCCTCCTTCCTCCTACCTCCTCCTCCTCCTCCTCGCTCCTCCTCCTCTTCCTCCTCCTCCTCCTTCTCCTCCTCCTCCTCCCCCCTCCTCCTCCTCCTCCTCCTCCTCCTCCTCCTCCTCCTCCTCCTCCTCCTCCTCCTCCTCCTCCTCCTCCTCCTCCTCCTCCTCCCCCAGGAGGGGGTTTGCGTGTCAAGAGGGGATGCATCCTTGGGTGAAGTGGGGAGGGGGGGCGAGGGCGAAGAGGAGGGTGGGTTGGGGAGGGGGACGGTGTACCTTTTTTCAGTGACGTGTGCACACTCGTGCGGGCCCTGGCGTAGAGGGCGGCCTCGAAGACGACGGCTGGGCCGATGGCCCAGCGCCCCTGGTCGCCGCCGGCGCCGCGCCCGCCGCCGCGACGTGGCAGGGGCGGCACTGCTTGCCGCGACCCGCGGCGTCGGGCGAGAACGGGCCGTCCGCCGAGGCGGCGGTGGCCCAGATGCGGGAGCGGCTGGAGGCCCTGGGCAAGAGGCTCGGGTCTCGCCACGCGGCGGCGCCCATGCGCCCCTGGATGCGGCCAGATCTCAGAGCCCCGAATCCTCGGAGGCAGCTCGGGTCAGGGCGAACTCGGGCTCGTTCTGCGGGATCCCGAACCCGAGCTGCCCCAGGCGCGAGCTGCCCCGGAGAATTCGGGCGTCCAGAGCCCCGAACCATCAGGGGTAACTCGGGTCAGGGCTCCCTCGGGTCCTCTGTTGCGGGATTCCGAACCCGAGCTACACCCGGACCCGAGTTGCTCTGGATACTTCCGGCGCCCAGGAGTCCGAGCCGAGGTCCGTGCACGCGCGCCGGCCGGTGGAGAATGACGTGTGGCGGCGCAGGACCGCTCGCCCCGGAGCTCGTCGGCGCTGCCTTGCCAGCGCCTCCTCGTCTCGGGCCGCGGCGCTGGACGGCGCCGCGGCCCGGCGCCGCCGCCAGCGAGCAGCCCTCGCTTGCGGGAGCCGCGCCCCGGCGCAGTCCAAAAGGTATTCGATGCGCTCGCCCCGCCCTGGAGGGCGAGGCCGCAGCTGGGGCGTGGGCTTCTGGGCGCGGCCCCGCGCGGCCCTCTTCGGGGTAGGAGGAGTCGGCTTGCAGGGGGGGGCGGGCGCGGGGGGGGCGCCAACGACCGCGCCGATTCCATCGCGGCCCGCTGCCCCTTCCCGGGGCTCTCAGGAATCCTCCGGGCCCAGTCGGCCTCGCAGTCGGCGCCGGCGTCGCGCCGCCCGCGAGCGCCAGCCGGCGGGCGGGCCGACATTGTTGCGCATGTTTGGCGCGAGAGACCCGCGCGGGCCTCGCGCTGTGCCCGCGCCCCAGGGCGACGGCCCAGGCCCTTGTAGCCCCCCGCGCTGACGCGATGGCCTCGCGCGCGGCGCAGGAGCGGGCGCCGCCGACCGTTCGGTTCGGTTCTGCGCACTTCTCATGCGCGAACGCAAAGCCCCCCAAGCTGCTCGCGCGCTTTGCGCGCTGAGCAGCATGGGGGGCGACGGCCGCGCGTTCAATGGGAAACCGCAACGCAAGGGTCCATTCCCGCGCGCGGGGCGGGGTATGAACTTACAGATGCGCCGACGGTCGAGAACTCGCGCGCGCGCCCGCGCCTGCCATGTTGGGCGTGCGCACTGGGCCCGGAAATCTGCGGCTCGGCCGCCCGATGCGCCCCAAAAATCGCTCCGCCTCCCCCCCCGCCCCCCCCCCTCAAAACTCTTCCGCGCTCCTGGAAAAACCACGCCGCCGAGGCGGGAGCTCGGGCCGCGGCCCGATGGTCCCCGGGGCACAGGGGAATCAAAGGAATCAGCACGGAATCAGTACAGAATCAAAACAGAATCGGCACAAATGCGACCGTTGATTCTAGCGGAATCAAAAGAATCAGTACGGAATCAATGCGGAATCAAAGGAGGAATCGGCGATGGAACCAGAATCGGCCAGAACGGGGAAGTAGGCCAGAATCGGTGTCAGAACCCATGGAGAGAGGCATTTTTCCCGCGAGTTCATTGCGGCGGGTCCGCGACGCGGGCGCTCCGCGCGACTTCGCTGGTTCAGCGAGGCGCGCAGTCGACGTTCAGAGTGAACAGGTTGTTTTCAGGGCGATATCCTGGCGGCGCGCTGGCGCATTGCGCATTTGCGTATTCCTGGCGGGCTCTTTGAGGGCGACCCGGCAGCGTCGGCCGAATGGCTCGCAAATACCGCGTGGCCGATCGCGCGCCCCATGCGGTCACGTCGACCGCCGTGTGCCGCGACGGCCGCGCGCCCCGGACCGCGCCATTGCCGCATTGGATTGGACGGCGCAGCGCCCGTCCTCCAAAAGTTGTTACATGCATATCGCGCGCGTCGAGCCAGCAGCAATCGCTTCCCAGAAGCAGCCTTGACAGGCGCCCCATGCCCGTTGTCGCCCGCTTCCGATCCAAATCATAGTTTCTTAGGATGCGCTTGCGCGAATGTGAGCGCGCGGGCAAGTAACGCGCGCGCGCTTGGCGCAGCCTGGGAAATCCAACATGGAGCCCCCCGGGGGCGCGGGGCGCCGGCGACGCTTCCGCCCGCCTCCCGCGCGCCCGACCCCCCCCGCAAGCCGACTCCTCCTACTTCGGGGGGCCCGCCCCCGCCAAAAGATGATGCAGCGACAAAGTTTCGGGGTGAGGCTGCGGCTCTCCGCGCGGTGCTGGCCTCCAGCTACAGTGCCGTTTTCAATACCTGGTCCGCGTGCGGATCATGTATTAAAAACGCAGGGATGTAGGAATAAAGACCACGATGAGTTCACGCATGCAGTTGTTCATGCATTGTAGCATGCATAAAAAAATCCTATATCTTTGAAAATCCCATGTATTACAAACTGCCCTGTACGGCCACGGGCGCTGCCCCTCTGCGGAGGCAGTGCACGGGGCGCCCCGCGCGGGGCACATCTTCGGCGCAGCGCGGGGCGTGCGCGCGGGCGGAGGGGCACGAGAGGCGCCCAGCACGGCAGGAGCGCGCTACTGCAGCAGATCGTCGCGGTGGGCTGTTGGGTGCGCGCAGGCGGTGCCCCGACAGAGAGAGAGAGAGAGAGAGAGCGAGAGAGAGCGAGAGAAAAGAGAGAGAGAGAGAGAGGAATAACGAAGCAAAAGTGGAAGACGGAGAGACAGAGTCACAGAGAGATAGGGAGAAAACAGAGAAGGAGAAGCAACGAGGTAAGGAGACAGATAAAGAGGAAACCAGGTAGAGAGAGAGTGAGAGAGAGAGAGAGAGAGAGAGAGAGAGAGAGAGAGAGAGTAAGAGATGGACAGCGAGAGAGTGCGAGAGAGAACGCGCATTGCCGGTGCGACAGGGCGGTCTTGCCAGGGCAGGCGTCGGCATCGTGGTCGTCGACGTTGTCGCTTTCGTCAGTTTTCAGCGCCTGCACTTCCTCGTCACCCTCGCCAGCACCATCGCCATCATCAGTATCGCCAGCGCCATCGCTGCCACCGACAACATCATCGCCAGCAGCTCCATCACCGCCGTCGTCGTCGACATCGCGCCCGCTGTCGTAATGAACGACGCCATCGTCGTCGTCGTCGTCGCCCGCCCTCACGACGTCAGCTTACGAGGTGTAGGTCATGGCGCGGGGGGGGGGCATGAACATAGGAGGCTGTCACGCGCGGGTGCGACCACAATTATTTGCACCACGTTGGGTGGACCAGATAGCTTGCACCACGTACATCGCATTATTCACGATGCAGTTACTCTTTGCTCCGGGTGCAATGGCATGCCGCTGTTTGCTCTGTGGGTTCATGCGCTCGCAGGTCGGCTCCCGCAGCGCAGGGGCTTCTACCATCGCATCAGTGGCTAACTGCAGATGTTGCGACCCCCTCTTGCTGTGCGAAGCCGCGTTGGGCCCCAGACTTCGTCCGAGGCTACACGGGCCTCGCCCGTCGCAGTACGCGCTCGAAGACTGTGCTGCAGAGGTCGGAGTGAGCTCAAGTCGGCTCCCGGTGCAACGCGCCGCTCGATGCTGAAAACTCCTCCTCCGGCATCCGTTTATGATTATTGTCGTTTGGGCGTAGTTGATCCAAGAGCGCGGTGCAGGCGGGCGGCACATGTTGATGAATTAGAGCGTGAAAGAGGGAGGGGCACAGAAAGAGAGAGAGAGAGAGAGATAGCGCGAAGCACAGAATTACGCTACCGAGGAA